ACGCCCCCCCCCCCCCGCCCCCGCAATGGCCAGCAAAACTGCTTGAGCCACCAGCGAGCTGAGCCACAAGGCCACTGCATAAACGGGACCTATGCAGGAACTGACCCTCTAGGGAGAGACAGGACACGTGACCTGTCACACCTGTGGCAGGCACAAGGCAGAGGCAGTGGTTGCTGGGGAGATGAGCAGACGCAAGGCCGAGCATGGCCAGCATGTTCACAGGGGGAGAGAGGGGAGGTAACGCTTCATGTCTGACACCAGGCTGCAGCAAAGACCCACTGCTCCCAGGAGAGGGGTGAAACCTTCCGGCCTGGAGAAGGGAGAGACCACTTGGGCCGGGATCCTGCACCAGCATGAAGCAGAGGTCAGCTACTGTGGGGAGGGCAGGAAGGCTGAGAAAGCCCAAGCTGGGCTGAGCAAAGGGAGCACTCCGCCTTGGCTCCCAGTGCAGGCCAGCACAGGAAACGAGCAGGAAGGATCTGCCCTGGGAGGAGCCAGGGGACAGGCCACAGGCCATGACGGAATGCTGGGCACTGACACGCCAGGGTACGCATGGCGACAACCAAAGACGAAGCCTGCCCAGCTCCTGCTCAAACTGACTGGGACCCCACCGAAGGCTCGGCAGGCCTGTCCCAGGCACGAACGTGTCTTCCTGTCTGCGGGGTCTTCCCAACAGGGTACCGAGCATTCAGCAGAGTTTGCAAGACACATGGCACAGCAAAAGCGGGAGGAGGAAGGGACAGACTACTGTTGAGAGATGAAGCCCTGGGCCAGCTCTGTGGTGCAACAGGAAGGTGTTGTTCAAGAGAAGCCAGAGTCCACACGGCAGCCTCAGTTCAAATCCCCAGCCAGGTTCACTTGAGAAATGCCAGGCACGTGCATGCAAGCCCGGGGTCTGCTGGGCTGAGGGCCGGGGGAGACCAGATGTGGCCAGACAGTCCGGGGTCTGCTGGGGTGAGGGGCCGGGGGAGGCTGGGTGTGGCCAGACCCTGTGGAGCTGCCCCTTCCCTCTCCCACTCTCTCGCGAGCACATAGGTATCCTATCACAAATGAAGGGGAAAACATTTAAACAAAGTTCAAGGAAAAATAGAATTAAAGTATGAGTTTGTTTTAAAACAGAGAGAGAGAGAGAGAGAGAAAGGAATAATTAGAACCAGACTCAAAATAACGCAGATGTTTGAAGTACCAGACAGGGACTCTGAAATAACCATGACTCACATTAAAGGATCTCGTGAAAAAGATGGACAACATGCAGGAGGGATGGGGACCCCCACAGTCAGCCCCCGAGACAGAAAACAGGCAGAGACAATGAGAGAGGATGGACAAGAGTGTTTCCAAATGAACAGCAACGAGCCTGGCACCCGTGAAGGTCAGGAAGCCCCGCACGGGGGTCCATACTGGCTGGGGAACACGCGCACCCAGCCCGGCGAGGGCCAGCATCCGAGCCAGCCTTGGGAGGCCAGAGAAATGGCCTTTTTACAAATGAGAAGCAGAGAGGCAATGGGGTGTTCCAGCATTACGGAGGGACAGTGACTCCCAGGGAGAAGGTCCCCCTGCAAGGCACAGCACACGGTGTGTGTCATGCCCGACAGGCTCTAAGCAGCAGAACCCAGAGGCCCCCAGCCCTGCTGTGAGGACGTGCCCCACAGAGGCCCGGAGACACCCTGGGCTGCGGCCCACTGCCCTCTCTTCACTGCCGCGGTGTGTGCGTGATCACCACAGAGGGACGGGGGGCGGGGACAGTCACACCACAGCCCTGGTCCTCCATCTCTCCCTCCTTCAGGGATCTGGAGCACGCACACACACGTGCCTCACGTGTTTCTGAAGCCACCAGGGCCAGGACTTGAACTGCGGGGGCACCCACCTGAGAGTGGGTTCCCTTCATCACTGGGCCGCAGGGCTGGCCCGTGACCCACTAACAAAGATGGCCGCACCACAAGCCTTGAGGGGGACAGTGGGACTGCGGGAGTTCACGGGAAACCAAGTCCAAGTCGAACTTTAGCACCAAAAAAAGGAAATCCAAGCCTCTTCTCCCAAATGCCTATTCTCCATGAAGCCTTTGAAGACCCCCACACACGTACAGGTAGGGTGTGTTACACACTACACAGACAAGAGGCATTTAGTCAGTAGCAGGACTTTTTGTTTAAAAGATATTCTTAAACTCCTGAGCCAGTTTAAAAACGAAAGGGAACATCCACACATCCGCTCATCCGCTCACACAGCTCGGCGCGGAGCTGGGACCGCTGAGTGCCAAGGCCGCCCTTGCCCCAGCCCAAGGCCGTGGGGCCCCGGGGCCTGTGTGCGGCATCTCTCTGCCTCCTCCTCTGGCGAGCACAATAGGCCACAGCCGTGGACGGTCACATGGCTCACGTGGACGGTGTGGTTGGTGTGGCTGCATCCTGCGAGCAGCGGCCTTGAGCTTCACAGGCTGCACACTCAGCGGCCACAGGAACGGCCTGCTGTTTACTCGGAGCTGCTGTCAACCGCTGGGGAATCGACCTTTAACTTTTAGAAGAGCCCCTGGTCACCTTACCTTTGAAATAAAGTCAGTCACTTCAGAGGAAGATTTGGTTACTGACGTTACTGAAGAATCAGACCACAGGACCTTAAAAACAAGCAAACCAACCAACCTTAGAAACAGACATACTGCTCCCAGCACACACTTCTGCCCGTGTGCCAGCCCAGGGGCCAGGTGAGTGCTGAGCAGGTGTTTGCCCCCCCCCATCTGTAACAGGAAGATGGGCCGTTAGAGCCCGCCTCCTGTCAATGTCACTGAAGAACTCAAGCACGGGGCCTACAGCTTGCCCCCAAGCTCAGGGGCCACCAACGCTCATGGCGGAGCATCTGAGCCGGGCATGGGCTGCTGCTCACAGACGAGTCGCAGATCAGGAAGTCCCCAGCAGTCGGTCCCTCCACACGAGGGTCCGTGTCCATGGGGGAGGGTGCTATGGGAGCACGAGAGGGCCCGAACCCCCGCCAGGGCGTGAGCACATTTGCGCCAAGAGAAGCGAGTGGGCAGGGGAGGAAGAGCGACAGTGCAGGGCTTCCGAGGCCCCTGCACCCGGCAGGCCCCGGCCTCTCCCACACGTGGCCCTGCTGTGGTCTGTGTGACTCTGTAGAGGCCGGTCTCCCCACGTGGACGCCAAGTCCTGGGAAGGGGGTAGAGCCTTGCCCCGCGATCCTGGCCCTCGGGCAGAAGGTGCTCCAGAAGGTTGGAGTCGCGGTCTGCCTGGAAGAGGGAGGCCCCCAGCGGAGGGGCAGAGCCAGCTGGGCTGGCCGGAGGGGCAGCCACAAATATCAGCTTCACCCTGAAATTCACACGGAGCCGTCGGTTTCAAGTCAGGCAATAAAATGAGCAAGCACATCAGGTTATAGGAAAAGTCGCGACGCCTTTTTGCCTAGAAAACATAAAGTACACCATGACTTTTCCGACAACCCAGTATCTTACTGCCCAATAAGAAAACAGGACGCCGATTTAGAAGAGATGCCACAACCCCCTCCGCCGCCCCGCCTCTGCTTGTTGGGAATGCCTGCTCTTCCTGGCCGGCCCTGCCCACGGCTGCCAACCACTGCAGGGTGCGAGCATGTGCGTCCTCGGGCTCTCAGAAAGCTCCGCTGGTGGGGAGGGTGCAGGCCCGCCGAGGCTCTCCCTGAACCACCGTGGCCGGCCCCACCAGCCGCTCTTGAGGCCTGACATGCTCGGGCCTCACAGCAGTCCTGGAAGACATCAGGGGAGCGGCTCCAAGCGGCTGCTGGAGGCAGCAGAATCTGACTGGAGGGCAAGCTCCCAGCACATGCACACGCCTGCCTGGCGCACTGTGACGCCGCCCAGCGTTTCTCCAAGTGCACTGCACGGGAATCCCCCCCATGCACCTGCCTCTGCCTCAGGTGGGCTTCTGCGCTCTCCTTCCTCCCACAGCCGCATCCACTCCGCCAGGCACGCGGCCCCGTGCCCAGGTCAGTGTGTGCGACGGCCCCCACGCATGGAGCAGGCTGCCCCATCAGCTCCCTGCCTCACAGGGCTGCCACAAGTCTAGGCTGGGCACTCCCGCACCGTTCTTCCCGTGCAGAGTCGCCGTTTCCACCAAGGGCCGGTGGAAAGCAGGCACTGGGACCAGGCCATGCTCTGGGGTCTAGGCTGCCCAGGTCTCCCCCTCAGCTGCCCTTGCCCACTCGCCCCAGGGTGTGCACCCATGGCAGCCTGAGATGTGCTGCAGTGACTCATGTCAACCGGGTCTGCAGCGGCCCATCTCACGCTCTGCATCCCTGTCTGACTCGGTTCTCAGCAGACCTGCCTGTATGCCGCGGAAGCCGCCAACACGTCCCTGGGGGCAGCAGACAGCCTAGGACCCAGAAGTTGCTGGGCCCCCAGGGGAGCCGAAGCCCACAGCAAGGGCCGAGGCCTGAACAGAACCAGAAGCCGGGAGGCAGCACAGACCCCGTCCCAGGAGCGTTTCTGTGAGCCAGAGGTGGCGGCGCGCCGAGAGCAGGAGCTGTGAAAGGAGCAGTCTCCGAGGGAAGCGCCAGGAGCCACTCACAACACGGAGTGGAAGACGCAAGGGGCCCATAGAGAAAGGAAGTGGAGGAGAGAGCAGGGAAAGGACCGTCTGAAGATCCGACATGCAGACAGCGAGGGTTTTAGAATGAGAAAATAGAGCCGGTTCCCAGAGGCGCAGACCTGTGTTTGCAGATCAAAGAGCTCGAGGTCTCCACGCCACGGGATGAGAGGGAGCCCACGCAGCGCGCACCCCCAGAAACGCAGGTGCCCGGGCCTCAGAGGAAGCCCTAGCATGGCCCAACAGACGCTCAGCACTCGCCGTGGCAGAGGCACGCCCCGTGCACCCCACAAGAGCGGGCACCAAGTGGGCCACACTCTCGATTTCTAACCACGTCTAGCCAGGACCTGCTACATGCCAAGTGTCCTGGCAGACGGTGTTCAGACAGGAAGCTCAAGAACCATGCCTCCTAAGGACCCTCCTGAAGCTACTAGAGCAACCGCTAAAAACAAGGGTAACAGGGACCAGCAGTTAGCGTAATGGCTGTGTCGCTGGACTCCCACGTAGTCGACCGCGGTTCGCGTCCCGGACCCGGTGGCTTAAACTCACGCTGGGCGCGTGTGCGTGCGTGCCCCAGATCCCGAGAGGAGAAGGGATTACAGCGTGGCCATCCCCCCGGGGGGGGGGTGATTTCTCACTTTCTATCTCTCTGTCTCTGTCTGTCTGGTGAGCGCACGCGTCCTATAGCAAAAAAAAAAAAAAAAAACCTCTCCAAACAAACAAACAAACAAACGAGGGTAACAGAAACACTTGCACCAAGGGCAGGTACCCAAGGGAGGTGGGCCGGGATCCCGGGACAAGTCCACAGGCCGCCACGCACGGCTGAGTGTAACCAGAGGACGCGGACAGCAGAGGACCTGAGGAGTGGAGCGGCCTAAGCGCTTGTCGGTAAGGCGGGCACACACGCACACGCGCACGCACGCTCCGGGAAAGACGGATGTCGGGCAAGAGAGGAAACGCACCAGGACTGACTCTACCATGTGACTCTGACTGGGAACCTTCCCACGGCCACGGTCTCTCCCACTGCCGTGCCGAGGGCAAACGTCAAAAGCAACACCCCCTCCTGCACGTCGTGCCGTGTGAAGTGGGCACATTTATATCCGATAAAAACGAAAACGCAAAATGGTTGCCAAGATTTGTTATTTGCTAATATGCAATAAAACACTCAGAACAGGAGTACTGCTTTCAGATGAAAACTAAACTTTAAAAAGAAAAGAGAGAGACGAATGAGATGTCTGGGTAACTGAGGGGTGTCCGCAGCACTCCCCACGGACCTGCGGGGCGCCACGGCGGTACTCCCGGGGCTGGGGCGCTTCCAGCTTCCCTTCCCGTTCCCTGATCATGGGTGATAAGTAAAGAAAAGTTTCTGTTTTTTTTTTTTTGCTATAAGAGTGTATGTGCTCACATACTCTTAAAATGAACTAAACTCATTTTTATAAAATTTTAGTTATTTCAGTTTCTTAACAATGAACTTGGAAAAGAGAGAAAGAGGCAAAGTAAGAGATCACTACTAGGAGGAAGGCCACACCACAATCCCTTCTCCTCTGTTCCCCTCTCAGGACTTTGCATGCATGCACACGGGGACCTGGTGCTCTTTCAAGCCTCTGGTCCAGAACTTAACCATGGGGTAGGCCATGTGGGATGCAGCTGCCCTGACCACCATGCCACTGGCTGGCTCCTTTCTTTAGTACCTTCTCTGTACCAAAAGATCTTTGAATTAAAAAAATTACCAGGGCCAGCAAGTGGTATGGTAGTTAAGGGTGCTGGACTCCCACATGGCCAACCACAGTTCGAATCCTGGACCTGGTGGCTTGCTTTCCCACTTGCCCCGCCTCCCCACTCTGTCCCTCTCTGGTCAAATAAAAATAAATAAATAAAGTTAAATCACAACTAGCAGATGGCATAATAACTATGTTGCTGGACTCCCATGTAGTCAACCACAGTTCAAGTCCCGGACATGGTGGCTTAAACTCATGCCAGGCGTGTGTGCGAGTATGCCCAAGATCCTGAGAGGAGAATAGAGGACAAGGGATTGTGGTGTGGTCATCCGCCCTGAGGGGTGACTTCTCGCTTTTTGTCTCTCTGTCTCTCTCTTTCTGGCAAGTGCCCACGCCCTAAAGCAAAAATCTCTCTCTCTCAAAAAAAAAAAAAAAACCTATTTATTAAAATAAGTAAATAGCTGGGTCAGCTCTAAGGTCGAGTGGTTGAGGGAGCCAGATCCCACGTGGCCATTCAAGTGGGTTTGAAACTCAGCCCCGGGACCAGCAGTTAGCGTAATGGCGATGTGCTCCCGGTCACGGCAGACCAGCTCACAGGCGCTAGAGCTACACATACACAGACCTGCGACGGCCTCCCGGCGCGTGCCCTTTCCTTTTGGAAGGAGAAGCCTGGCTTCTCTTACACACGGAGACCATCGCCCCGCAGCCCGCCTTTGATTGGCAGGCACATTCCGTGGCAAGGACGGAGCAGGAGTGGGTCCACTCCGTGGCTGGACAGCCGGGCTGTGTGCAGTCTGGGCTGTCACAAAGCTGCATGTACACATTTGTATGACCACACGCAGCGACTGCCCTCGGCGGATGCCAGGCACAGGACTGATGGGGCATGCCACAGGTGCATGCTCCAGAGAGAAGCTGCCGACGGGGTTCGCACGCCGGATGCTGCACGGAGCAGCAGCGCAGGCTGTCCCAGGCCGACCTAAAAGGCTGGGTGCAGTTATGAGCACCTACAGTCCTGCAGATCTGGGAGGCTGGCAGGGGGGTCTGACACAAGGAAACCCTGTCCATAAAAGGTACCTCTCTCTGCCTCCCTTCTCCTCTCTCCCCCTCTGATAAGGGCAAGGGCCCCACAGGTGGCACAGGTGGCAGGGCACTGCCATGTGACACCAGAGCCATGCAGGCTGGCGGTGGTGGAGGGGTCATCATAGTACGGGAAGACCCTGACTGTCCCGGTCAGAAGGAAGCCAGGGTCACAGGAGAAACAACTGCTGAACTGTTTTCCAAAGGAGCTCACCATCTCACACCCCCAGCAGCAGTGTGAGACGCCAGCTCCGCGGGCGACGGGAGCGGAGACTGCCCCGCAGCTTTGGTCGGTGCCTCCCTGAGGTGGACGGTGCAGAGCGTCTGCCCGCTCGTGCCTCTCTGCTTCCACACAGCTTCCACGGTACTGTCTGTCCAGACCTTTCCCTGTTTTTGGATGGTTGTTTTCCTAGCATGAAATACAAATTCCTACGTGGAATACAAATCCCCTACCAAACGTGAGACCCGCAGACATTTCCACCTGACCTGTGTTTCCCCTTCCACTCGGTTCAGGGTGCCTCCCAGGTAGCAAGTTCTGAATCCGATGAAGCCCAGTCTGTCATCCTGTCTTCTACGGGTATTGTCTCTAAGAACACTTTATCTTGCTTAAATCACCAAGCTCTCTTCTGTGCTTTCTAAGTTTAAGTGTTTGGTTTTACATGTAGGTCTATGATCAATTTTGAGTTAACATTTTCTTTTCTTTTTCAAATTTTGCTGCTGGGAATATGCCTAGCAACGATAAAAGGAGAGGGGTGAGAAAAGTGTGTGGGGGGGTAGACAGCCACGCCAGTCCTTTTCTGTTCCCTTAGAACGTTGGTGCGCATGGGAACCAGCAGTTAGCGTAATGGCTATGTCGCTGGACTCCCACGTAGTCGACCGCGGTCCGTGTCCCGGACGAGGTGGCTTAAAACTCACGCCGGGCGCGTGCGTGCCCATCCCCCCTGGGGGGCGATTTGGGGTGATTTCTCGCTTTCTGTCTCTATGTCTCTCTCTGTCTGTCTGGTGAGTGCACGCGCCCTACAGCGAAAACCCCCCCCCCCCCAAAAAAAAAAAAAAGAAGAGCTTTGGTGCGCACACACGTGACTGTGTGTTTTCAACTGCTAGGTCCGGGACTCAAACCATATGATCAGCTATGTAGGACCCAGCCACCGTAAGCGCCATGCCACCCCAGAGCTGGCTTTTGTTTGAGGGGAGGCCCGAGTCAGTGCTCTGGTTTCTGCATATGGTATCTTCCAGAATCTGCTGTGACCAGACCGTCCTCTCCATAGCGAATTGTCTTTGTATCTTTGTCAAAAGTCCCTTAGCTGTGCCCTCAGGAGTCAGACTCTGGAGTTTCCCTTCGTTCTCGGTTTCGCCGTGATTCCTGCAGCAACACCATAGTGTGACCAACTGAGGTTGAAAATGAAGTCCTGGGGACCAACAGAGGGCATAATGGTTATGTCGCTGGAGTCTCACGTGGCTGACCATGGTTCGAGTCCCAGACTCAGTGGCTTAAAACACGCCAGGCTTGTGTGTGTGCATGCCCAAGATCCTGAGAGGAGAATGGAGAAGGGACTGTGGCATGCCCATCCCCCTGGGGGGGGGTGATTTCTTGCTTTCTGTGTCTCTTTGCGTCTTCAGCAAGCACACACAACCTATAGCAAAAATCTCTTAAAATTTTTTTTTCTTAAAAAAAGAGAAAATGAAGTTCTGATTCAAATAGTGTGTCTTCCAAACTCTTCTTTCTCTTCCCTTCCTTCTTCCTTTAGAAGATTGCTATAGCGTGCATGCATTCACTAGAGGGGGCAGGTGAGAAATCAGCCCCTGCAGAGTTGGCCAGGTGGAGTCCAGCTGCCTTAACCTCCATGCCACCTCCTGGCCCCCAAGGTTTTCTTCTTTTCAAAATTGTTTTGATTACTCTAGTTTTTTTTCTATATGTCTCTTAGAATTGACTCGTTGAATTCTAAAGCAGGAAAATTTGGGCTGGCTCCTTGGAGCAGTGGCAATGTGCTACTCAAGAGACACTAGATCCTGGGAACCAGCAGTTAGTGTAATGGCTATGTCGCTGGACTCCCACGTAGTCGACCGCGGTTCGCGTCCCGGACCCGGTGGCTTAAAACTCACGCCGGGCGCGTGTGCGTGCGTGCCCAAGATCCCGAGAGGAGAATGGAGGAGAAGGGATTGCGGTGTGACCATCCCCCCTGGGGGGTGATTTCTCGCTTTCTGTCTCTATGTCTCTCTCTGTCTGTCTGGCGAGCGCACGCACCCTACAGTGAAAATCTCTAAAAAAAAAAAAAGAGAGACACTAGATCCTGCATGGCACCCAAGTTCAAATCCCTGGTCTGGTTGCCAGCAAACATACCGGGCGTGTGTGGGAGTGCCCCTCTCACTCGCACTCTCGCATGCATGCATGTACTCCACCATGAGAAAGAAAGACAAAGAGATGGGGGTGGGGTGGGGGGAGAGAGAGAAAGAGAGAGAGAGAGAGATCAACAGATCTCCAGGGAAACCCCAGGCGTGGTCATTTAGGCTGAGAGAAAGATAGCACGTTTAAGAATCCCAGGAAGCCGCCCGCTCACCACCTGCACCTGTGGCCAGTCCGTGCTGACTGCCAGCTGTGAAGCTGCAGCGGCTGTACACTTGGAGGTTGCCAGGAGGCCACGCCCGATGCAGCCACCACCACTCTGCAGCCACCTCCTTACGGCAGAGGGTACAGCTCCCCAGCGGTGCCTGCACACGACGGCGGTGCGCGCTGTGCAAAGGGGCAGCGTTTGTGAGGACGACAACCCACTTTCGAATGCTCATGTGACACCCTCCCTTCGCCTAAGATGACCATCTATCAGGCACGACCTGGCCTGAGAAGTCCAGGACACGTTGAGTCAGGACAAAAGCAAATGGCCTGGACTGCTGGGGAGCGAGGATGACAGCCGGAGCATGGCTGCCCAGCCCCACAGCAGGAGCGTCCCAGAAAGCCGTAGCTCTGAAGTCCCTGACACCCAGTTCCACCACCAGGGGAAAGCATCCAAACTGGACCGCGGGCACAGTATGATGGGTCGGCCTGAGAACAGCCTCTGCCTCTCCTCCCCATGTGTGCAGGGCCATGGGACCCATGAGGACAACTGCTGGGCTTGGGGGCCTCCCCAGTCTTGGCCCCCACTGCCTATGAGAAGGGGCCCCAAAGGCTCCCTGCCTTGCTGCCAATGCCCCTCCCCAGGGTCCCAGGCACTCGGTCGCCCGGCTCTGCATCATGAGTAACTAGAGTAGGGCACAGATGTCCTCCAAGTGAGGCCAGCCTTCCAGAGTATGCAGGTCCTGCAGAGACTGCTGTGTGCCCCTCTGTGAGAGATGACAGCGAGCGCCGAGCGAGGGCCACAGGCCATTGCTGGGCTCCAGGCCAGAGGCCCTGCGGTGTCACCAGGACCCCCAAGGCCTGTAAGGATGGCCCAACCCTGATGACGCTGGGACCTGGGGCTTCTGCAGCTCTTGAGATCCCATCCAGTGGTCACGAGCGAGCGACTCCCTCACACTGTGGGAGGGCACATGGCACCCTGGGGCCTGGTGCATCTCCTCACCGCACTGAGGCACTATCCTCTGGCAATGAAAGTGCTGAGGTATTCTGATGTCTCTTTGGTCTTTAAAAACTCCATCGCCTGCACAGAGCGACAATCCTCACGCCGCCACAGCCTCACTGTGACAGATGCTCCCAGCCGTGTGGGCACAGACTCTCCCCAGGGGGGCTCAGTGAGGCATGCGGTTGAAAGAGAGCCTAGCAGCACAGCAGGCAGGGACAGGCCCTGCTGGCCAGCTGCGGACATGTAGCAGGACGCCTCTCCCTACCTCTTCTCAGTCAAAGGCTTGGGGCCAACAACACACCAGGGTCGCAATCAGAAATGCTCCTTAAAGAGGATAAAAAGTGGTCTTCCCCTTCTTCACCCAGCACCTTGCTGCCTGACACACACCCGTGAGGATGGGAGCCCTCGCTGTCATCCTGGATCATGAGGCCAAGGGCCACGAGCTAGCGCTGTCCCAAGGAAGCTGGAGGAGCCTGGGCTGGAGAGTGCGGGGGCACAGTTGCCATGGCAGCTCCGGCTCGGCCCTGTGCACCCAAAGTGAGAGAGGCGAGCTCAGGTGAACTGAGCACCCAGCAGGTCCCCGCCCTAACACACAGTGCGTTGCCACTCTCACGAGTTCACTTCGCCCAGCTCTAGTGACTACTGGACCTAGCACACCGCCATAGACACTGTTCCTGGCTAGGACCAAGGCACTTTTGTCGCCGAGTAAATGTGAAGAAGACACAGAAAGCTCATCGGAGGCACTTACCATTCCGGACTGTGCTTGGCGCTCTGCACGGGCAGTCTCGCTTATGCTCCCAGCATCCCCCAAGCTGTGTCCCATTAATATCCTCCCACTGCTGAATGCAGACAGGGCACAGGGAAGTTCAGCGCTAATAGATGGAACTGCCAACTCCAGGCTGGCCCACAGCCACGGCCCTGCCTCAGGTGTGGGGCAGTGAGTGAGGGCCACAGCCATCAAGCAGGAAGCACCCGCCCCCATTGTGAAGGTGGCCACATGTGGCCAGCCCGGCACTCTCATGTGGCACTGCACAGAGCTTTGCAAAAAGGCACAGCTATCTCACTTAGATAAATAAAAGTACCTATTCATGGAAATGTGTTCCTCCTATCTCTTAGAGGAGAGAGGGAAAAAAAAAACTTAGCATCTTACCTCAAAGGAACATTCAACATTCCTGTCATTTTTTGTGTGTGATAATCCCTTCAGGTCTATCTTTTCAACACTCACTGTAAAAGTAAAACAAAAAACAGAAAACAAAAACAAAATTATAAAAATGAAATAAGACCGTGCAGTATACACAAGTTATTTAGCATTTGATAGTTGAGCAATTTTCCACGCGAGACTAGTCCCACCCAGAACTGGAGACTGGAGCGGAGCACAATGCAGGCAGACTCGCGAGTGAGAGCACGGGCAGCACCTGCGAGACCCGGGCAAGGGAGGCCGGGAGCGGCCTGGACCGAGAACCTGCGTCTCCACGAGCACACACGAGCACCGACAGGGCTGTAACAGCCCCGGCGCCAGGCTCTGGCGCCAGGCCTCAGAGCGGGCAGGAATCTGCTCTGCGCTATGAGAAGCAGCACTCGACTGTGATTGCCTGGACAGCGCCTCTCCAGGACAGTGTCTCCTGCGTGTCTTCCGTCAACAGGACGCATTCCCACAGGGCAGGCGTGGCAGAAATCGGAGGGCAGCTCTAGGCGGAACTGGGCAAATGCTGAAGGCAACTGTCTCTGAGGAGCAGACAATGCAGCACCAGACAACCGGGAAGGAGAGACGAGGCTTCCCGAGATCTCTCAGGCAGCCTGGTCCAGACTTTCCTTCCTTTAAGCCAGGGTGCCTTCTCCTCAAACATAAAATGACTCACTCAGCTTGAAGCTCTGTTTCCACATCCAAGACAAGACAACATTATCCAGCACGCCATGGCCTCCGGCTCCCAGAGACAGCAAGTATACATGTCCTACTTCTAACTTGAGACCGCTGTTTCTCGAGACAATGCCTAACGACTACTCGAGCTTCTGTGTTGTCACAGGCACAGATGGTCACACACCCCACCTGTTATGGACACCAGGAAAGACCCCAGCAGAAGGAAGACAGCACATGCCTTTCATATGTAGACAGCACATGCCTTCTGGCTACCTTCACTCTTCCAGAGGCCCCTGGGCAGTGTGCTATGGGTATTTCTGCAATTGGGTCCTATGCCAAATAATCAACATCATCTCTCAGATCTGCACTGTGACACTTGTGCAGACAGCCTTGCTCCTGAGCTGCCACACCAACATTTCCCAAAGTCTCCTCCAAGGAAGCCAGTTCTGTAAGATGCTCAGGGCCACCCTCCAGAAGGTGCATATTCAACAAGTTCAAAAAGACCCCTTCTTGCAGCTGTTAATTACATTAGCAAATTAAAGGCTTTGAGAAGTATTGCAGAAAATAGGTTTTTAAAACAATGATTACCCAATTTTTTGGGCCACAGAACCCCTTCCCTATAGAGAGCAGCCAATCTGGGTGAACACGGTGACCTTTAGACACATGCAGAAACACAGTTCCATGAGCTGTCATTTGCATGGCAATAAAAGCAACTGGCACGAGCTGCCTGAATCTGCAGAGCAGTATGGGTCTAAAGGAAGTCACATGTGCTTAATCAAAATCTGCCCAAAAGATAAGAACAAATTTACATAAAACCACAGGGCACCAGTTGTCTTTGCATCTTTAGCCCATTAACATCCAAAAAAACTGGATTTACATTCCATTTTCTCTCCTCCCATTTCCTACCCTTAAAAAAAATAACCCTAATGGCCACCAGGTGGCGTAGTGGTTAAGGATGTAAGACTCACATGGCTGACTGTGGCCCA